TGCTGAACTCGATGCAAGTGCTGTCCTCGCGGCACTGGAACTTTGCAGGGCACACTGCATGGGAAGAAAGTGCGTGGGAATGAGGCGTGCAAGACAAGGTGTCGGGTGTGAGATCAGGGCCCTAAGTGCACCAGTAGGCTCCGCAATCTCTTCCCCCACCTGATAAGGTTTTGGCAGCCTGTGCTTAAGACCAGCTCTGGTATAGTGCAACTGTGTAATCTTGAAACAGACTGCCATGAAAAGCAGGAGCCTGGCCCCCTTTTGCTCAGGAGTTGCATTTAATCTGAGGTCCTTGCTATTGGCCTTTGCCTGATCTACGTTGTAGGCATGCCTGCACCTTGTCTTATACCTTGCTGATGCTTCCTTAACTTTCCTTGATTTCTTGGCTTGGCCTCGGACCTGCCTCATCACCATGGACTTGTCTTGCAGTCACTGGACTCTTGGTTGACCCCAGGTTACCATCACCAGACCTGGTCTGCTTGCCTTGTTCAGGTTCTGCAGGACCGCATCCTGTCTGGTGAGGTCACTGTTCCTCCTGCCTTGCTGTCACCCTCAGCTCATGGGTCACCTTCCCCCTACAGAGCAGCTGCTCCTCTTGCTCTCTGACAGGTAAGTCCTGAAAGATGATGAATTCCTTGATATCCATGAGCTCTGAGAGCTGCTCAGGATGGAGGTGGGCCTAAGGTGCCTACCCATCACAGAGTTTGACTTCTGATTATACATTTTCATAGCAGGAACTGTCCCCTTGTCCTGTGTTTGTGTGTATGGGCCAGTACCTCCTGGGAATTTTCTTACTGCAATTGACTACAATTTCTTCAGTAATTAGTGTGGGGCTTCCAGATGACTGGGGGTCTCAGGCAATGTGAACATTGATTTTAAAGACAGGGGTTGTTCCATACAGACATGGAGTGAATAAGCAAGGATGCAACAGTGGCAGGAGTGTAAGAAAGGAAGGAAATCACAATGTTTCTATTTTCTTTTTCAAATACAAAGAGGTGTTTGAAAACACTAAGAAACAAATACTTTTTTTGTTCAGTCTTTTGGTCTGTGTTAACCTGTGGAACTGAATGATACAAGATATCCCTGGGTCCAAAAAGCTAACAGTATTCAAGAAAGGATTAGATATTCATAAGGATGCATATGTATGCTTGTCTGTATGAGGGAAGAAAGCAAGCAAGCCCTGATGTCAGAGAGCTGGATGAGGGGACAGAGTGCACCCTCAACAAGACTGCAGACAATACAAAACCCAACCTCGGTGATCCTGTGAGAACTCCCACACTTCCAGCACTGAATTGAAACTTCTTTGAGAAAAATTTCTTCTTCCTTTTACTTTAGACTTTTCTATACCCTCCTTTGAATCTTTCAGAACTGGCCACTGTCTCCAGTGGTTCAGGGATCTTTCTCTCTGTGAAAAAACAGCTGTAGGGGACAACTAATGAAAAATCAGTGGTAGCAGCAATGTAATGAGCCCCTCGCCTCACACCAGGGATGGGAGAGTAGATGAATTAGGTGTCATGCCTGAGCCAGAATAGCTGTTCCTATGAGAATGGGGCTTTGCAGGACTCCTGGGATGCTGGAGACAGTGTCTGCATCAGCACTAATTGCTGTTGGCATGAAGAGCTGATGGCTGATCGAGGACTTAGATGCTTCCAAACTGGGGCACAACATATGGGTGAGGATCTGTACAGATCAAGAGTCACGAACAGCCTGGGGGGAGAGGGGAGAGAGCAGAGCAGCGGGTGGGCTTGGGGAGGTGTGGGCAAGGTGGGAGCGCGGGGAGGGGGATGCTGAGTGGTATGACAGCAGAAGGGGCTGTAGGCCAGGACTGAGCTTGATCATCAGGCCTGGGTGGGGGGAAAGCAGGACACGGTGGGGGACAGCTTGGGCAGGGGCCTTCCCTCAGGCTGCCTGGAGCTTTTGGTGCATGGGTATCAGAGGTTTCTCCCGGGAAGACTGTGTGATCCACAGGAGCAAGAAGTGTTGTTGCTTCTTCCCAAGCAGGCTGAAGCCACCTGGCAGTCGGATGAGGCTTTTGTGGATGCAGAGGTTTAAGGTCCTGGAGGGGAGGTACAAGGCTGCACCCAGGCCAGCTGAATCCTCCCCATCTCTCCCTGCCTTTGGAGGAGCAAGGGGCTGTGTCCTGCTGAGACCAGGGACCAACGCAGAGAAGATATCACTCACCACAATTTCTCTCATCTAGCCCATTGGGGCAATCTTTGATCCCATCACAGGCTGGGACGCACAAGCCGTTCACCGAACACAGGAACTCCCCGGGACAGGCTGTGAAACCACCAGAGAGTAGTTAGTCCCCAGTGACTGGAAACCTCCTTGCAGCAGAGCACCGTGGCTTGAAAGTGGAGAGTGGAGCTGCACACTTTCCTGACCACACGTGTGCTGCAGCAGCATGCTGGCCGCACTCGCTGCGCTCCCCCAAACCTGCCATGTCATCCGCTCTGAACAAGGGCAAATGGAGACAGGCTATGCACCAGGGGAAGGAGGGCTCTTTGCTTGCTTCCCATTGTATCAATGGGCAAGAGCCAAGAGAGCCACCCGCCTGGCATGCTATGCCTCTGCTTTAGCACTGTTTCATGACTCCTGAATGCTGTGGAAAAGCTGCAATGGGTTCTTTGGAGTTGTTATTAAAACTTGGTCAGGGCCTTGAAGGGGTTGGTGTTAGACACGTGTTGGCAGGTGCACATATTGGGGACTGGTATACGATACAGGCACTCTTTAGGAGGGAGATGGAGAAACCTTGGAAAGACAACTGTGGGTGTGCATTTGCATATGTGTGTATGCATATTTGTGTGCGGTTTTATTCGTCTCGCACTTGCACGGATTCCAAGGTGAGCAGGAAACAGCTCTCTCTAAGAGCCCTTATAATTGAAATAAAAGTCACTTCAAATCAGAGATGGTCTCTCATTGAATTCCCAAGGCCAGTCCATGATGTGGGCACAGGGGTGAGCCTGCAGGCAACTCTCTGAATCTGGGCTGCGGCGCATGGATGCTCTGACAACATGAGGCAGGGCCACATGTGCAGAAGCAGCTTTGCACGTAAATGCCTCTTCTTTTTGGCAAATCAGGGGTTTGTGCATCACCACATTTGTGAACATGTGCCTGAAGGGCAAACGGCACTTAAGGCTCACGGGATGTGTCTTGTGTTTTTCCTAACACAAGTCAAGCGCACAAGGGCTGCTGGTAGCCAGCTGGGACCCCACCACCCCAAGAAGGAACAAGGAGCCTCAACTTACGGTCAGATAGGTTGTACAGGCTGTAAGCTGCCTGTACACCAGGGCCTGTTAAGGAGATCTGCGAGGTGAAGGCGATGGTGATGTCAGCCGAGGATGTGACTGGGATCCGCTCGGCATAGGCTTGCAGGGTCCGCAGGCCACACAACCTGAGGGGCAAACACAGGCGCGATGTCCCGGGCAAGGAGGGAGGATAATACAACAAAGTGGGGCAAGGGGGTTCAGTGGGGCTGGGGTGAGAAGGGGCCACACAGAGTGGGTGTGTGTGGGAAGCCAGGAAGGCAAAATGCCTTCAATATGTCATGAGATTATGAAGGATCAATGGGAAAAGGCTGTGATTTAAACTCGTACCCTGCCAACACGCAGGAGAGCTGACACTGGATCTTGCTTTGCCTGGTCACATCTTGGTGACTGAGCAAGGCCAGGATGAGGAGGGAGTAACCTTAGTGAAACAAGGGGTCCTCTCTGTGTGCAAGGCGGCATAACTAACCTAGGGACTCCCCCAAAATGGCTGAAGAAGTGAGGTGAAGAAGCCCCAGAGACAAATAGGGATGAAAACACCACCACACATGAATGCTGTGGTGGGAACTGATGCAGAGAGAGAGGAAACAACTGGAACGGCCTTGATATTCAGCACCGAATAACTAGGGGGAACAGGGCAAAATTAGGCCCGACGAACAGGACGAAAAGAGTCTATGCATGTGGTGACCCAGTTCTGCCTTTAGGCCATGTGCGAGTCCAGACTGACCCTACTATCTTTGGACATTTCCCACTTTCTTGACAAGTGCTGAATTCAGGCCACACAAAGCAATTCAGTTCTTACGTTTATCTTCCCGAAGAAGCCACGTTGTAGAAACTGTGGTGCTGACAGTTTAAGAGAGGAGAACAGGGAGAGAAAAAGTGAAAATCCTAAGCCAGGGGAATGTAGCCTCTGGATCAGACCCTTCAGAAGAAAAGAAGTTACCCCCACAGGAACAGTGGAGAGGAAGTTAATGAGATGGGCTGGGGGAGGTTTTGGAGGGAAAGGGGCAATTTTGCAGTAAGTGGGAGGAAAAACAAAAGCCATCCAGCTCGGAGCCTGCTTTGAGGAGATGGGAGCACAGCAGCTCTTGGTCCTTTGCACCTGGGCAGTGGTGGGCAGCAGCCCCAGCTCCATATGGGTGATGATTTTGGGAAGTCCCGCAGGGGGAGGTGGCTGTAGTCAAAGCAGGAGGATATGGAGCTAGGCGGAAGATCTGTACGGAGGTGGATGCGGGGCAATGGCACACGCAGATAATATCGCAGAGGTGGTGACAGGCAGATTTGCAAACACAGGAGACGTGGGAGGACACCAAGGTTACACACACAGGAGAAAACTAGGAAGCCTGATGCAAACAGCAAGACAGAGAAGGCAGGTTGGTAGCTTGAAGCAAATCTGTAAGAAATGTGCTCACTGGGGAGCCTGCAAACAAGAGAGGCTGAAAGAGAAGTAGACAAGCAAGAGGCACCAGTGCAAACAGTGGCCGCTGCATGTGGTGATGGGCTCTCCTTCCTCAGACCTGATGGCTGAAGTGAGCAGGGAACCTGCAGAGGTTTAACACCAGTTTAATCCCAGGTGGGAAGTGAGAGACAGAAACCAGGACCAGAGCACACACCTTCTGTTCTGAATTATCCACTGGCCTTGGGTACAGGGCAGGTCATGCTTCTGTCTGCTGAGTGCGTAGGCATCGAACCACAGGGTGATCCCATAGCTGAGGGATGGGACCTGCAGGCAAGAGGGTCCAGAGCAGAATGGAGATGGCTCCTATGAGTGCTGCACCCCACTCCACGCGACAGAAACAAGCAGGGTAGATGTGAAGAGGAGAGCTGCCAATTAACACATTGCAAGACAGAAGGAAGCACCATCTAAACTGGGGCCATGCCGCAGCCCAGGATGGCTCTGCTGCTTGTCTCAAAGCATGTTAATTCCTAGCAATTTCTAGCAATCTGGTTCTGACTTGAAGAACTCCTCTGGAAACCAGATTTCAGATTCCTCCTTGTCTATGGCATCTCTGCTCTGGCATGCAATATTAGACTCCTTCCCCTTCAGAAACACACGTTATGTGGAAGCTAGGCTTGCTTCTATGATGAGACCGCTTCTGTACTCCCCCTAATGTGAGGAGTGCCGTGTGGGTTTCAGGGATGGGGTGGATGCTCTTGTGGGAGCTGGCTCTTACCGTCATGTGCCAGGTGCATTGCGTGTTGGGTGAGTAGTAACTGGGGTAGTGTGGGGTGCCGATCTTCCCCTGCTGCTCCAGGCCTTCCCGCAGAGTTATATTCACTTCGCAGGCTGTAAATGCAGACATTCAAAGCCCTGCTACCCATCAGCTCAACCTCAGCCTGGGGATGCTACGTACTCATCCCGTTGTAGGAAGGGAGAAAAGGGGCTCTAAGATCTGATGCTAAAGGTGACTGGGGTGTTCCACCATCCCCCCTCAAGGGGCCATTTCTAGCTGGCAAGACTTGTAGCTTCCTCCTCTTGTTCAGAGAAGGGTAATGGTAAAGTATATTGTTGCTTTAGAGTCTTATATTGAATTGACATTTAACTGCGAGTGCATCTGGGCATGATGTCCGGGCCACATCTGCTCTGTCCATGCACGAGACCTTGGGCTTGCTCCTAAAGTATCACAACCACTCTGGCAGGCAGAGCCTGAGCTGTAAAGACTCAAGCCAGATGCTAATGTATGAGTCCAGTTGAGGGAGCAACATCTAACCTGCTTCTTACTGACCACCTCTACCCTTGCAATCCCGAATGAATTCTGCCCCTAATGGGAATGGAGCACTTCTGATATAACCTGTCTCTTTCCTGTATCTATGCCCCTCCTCCTCCACCCTTCCTCACCTTTGAGGGGCACCACCTGCGCTGAGAGGATGAAGGGGTCATAGTAGCTGTACATGGCTTTCTTCCACACAATGGACATGACAGGGCCTGATGAAAGGACTTCCACAACGGGCTCCTGCCGGCTGCAGCCATAGATCCTGAGTGGAAAGAGATAAAAGGATGGGAGTGAAACAAGCAACAAACAAATGAAAGAGAAGAACAAGAAAGAGACAATGGAGGTCTATGTTATCCACAGCACACGCCTGCTGTGAGGCACTAACTGAATCAAATAAAGGGCCAGCAGAGAGACAGCTCGTGCTGCTGTAATCTCCCAGACTGCACGCCTGGCTGTGTGATATCCCACATCAGTGACTTCAGCTGATCAGCAAGAGGCAGGTTCTGCATCAAAGAGAATTTCCTCTGATGTAGTCTAACACCTTCCCCTGCTGTGGTGTGTCGTGCCATCCTGCCCGGCTTCCCTGCCGTGCTTGCCCTGCTCAGGAGCTACCTACGAGGTGATGAGGTGTTTCTCCAGGGGCCCGGCTGCATCGTACATAGCCAGGCGGTCCCTGCAGTCCGGCAGAGTCCACTCCAGGCGTAGCTTGATCATGTAGCCCTTGAGGCCATGGAGGTGCCAAAGACAACTGGAAGCCAGGTAGTCAGGGCCCTCCAGCCTTAGGACGTCATCCTCCTGGACATAGCTGTACCTGTAGCAACCTGAATCCAGGGGAAACATACAGGCATTTAAACCTCAGGGTGATGTAAACGGAGGCAAGGGGGGTTTAGGAGTGGTTGTAAGGGAAATTAAGATATAGGATTGTCACTTGGGATATCAGCATGAGCTCTATTCAGGATAAGGCTGACTCATCCCAGTGATCTCAGTTTACTTCTACATATGTTGCAGTGGCACCGGTCCCCTTGTACCAGTGCCCCAGTTTCTCTCTATAAGAACTGTCCCCTCTCCCTTGGTTAAGCCAATACTGCCTCAGGCTTTAAATACCAGCACAACACAGTTATCTTCCACTGGCTTAATTTTCTTTTTCACCTCTTTCTCCTCTCGCCCCCATATTCTTACCAGCTTTATATCCCTTCATCTGATTTCCAGGTTTCAGCAGGCTTCCAGACTAGGATTTTTGAGTAAAGGTCAGCTTAAAGGTGAGTTTCTAATATCATATCTAATGCAGGCTGCCAGCCACAGCACTTACAACACTGCCTGAAACAACTAAAAGCACCTTCAAATATCGCTAAGACAATGGACTCCTAAATGACTGACACCACATCCAGTGCAGAGCCATGCAGGAAACCCCCACCCCAGGTTTTTATGGGGCCTGGAATTAGCACCGTTGTACCAGTATACCAAGCTATTTGGCAGGACTCATCAGGGCAGGAACAAGACTTTACTAAGGTGGCTGCACTGCCCCTGGGAGCTGGTATCTCTGCACAGCAGTGTGCTACTGGGGCAGAGGTGTCAGGATGCTCAGAGCAGTCCAGCACATAGCTGTGTCATGTAGTTTGGATCTGGCCAAGCAGCGGCACTGGTACTCCCTTGCTAGTGTTCTCATCTCCCCTTCCCAGGATTTACAACTCCAGGAAGCCAACAAATTTTCTGTCCCCTGTAAAAATCCCTCCCATAAAGTCACAAACTCAAAAGGAAAGGAAAAGATAGCCTACCCAGAGTGGATTTCAGCACTACTATGTCTTTCACACTGGATTCTGTTAGAAAGGAAATATATAAAGGAAGATAAACAAAAAGATAAACTGGTAGTATCTGAATGCTAGCATGGCAAGCGATGACTCCCTTCCTTCCTCTGTAAATGGCTCACTTGCAACTTCGGCATGGGGCATCCTCCAGGTACTTCTCTGTCTGCTCTCAGGGACCTGTTTCGGTCATGCCTTCCCCACTCCCTCTCTGGGAGATTTCTCTGGCCTCTGCTCCAAATCCAACAGCCCCAGTTCATACTTTCCAGCCCACCATGGGCTTCTCTGCCTTTTTTCCTTTCCCATTTTCATGTGCTATTCCAGGACCTCTTCCCCTTCCCAGGAGGGCTGGGCATTGCTTCAGGCAGCCATCCTCCTCCCCTGCCAGCCACACCACAGGGCACAATCTCACTTCCCAGAACCTCCACCATCTGCTCAACCCTCCCCTTCCAGTTTAACTAACCCTCCCTGAAAAGCATGGGAGCTACTGAAGGTGGGGAAGGAGGTCTCTTTTGACGACCACTGGTTGATGAGCTACTTAACATCGTCATAGACTCCACCTCTGGAGAAGGAAGATGCAGAGAAAGCCGCCAGCAAGGACTACAGATCTGTGCAAAACAGAGTCACAGGGTGGACAACACTTTTAGGAGAGCTGGGCTTTGCTCCAGCCTCCCAGCTGAACTGGGAGTGGACAGAGATCAGGTGCTACTGGGAATAATTGCCAAAATAAAAGGCACCGTGAGGTCAATTGGGTGTGAGAATTGCTGTTGGGGGCTTGCCTAGGTCAGGGCTTTGGTCTTTTGTAGCTCCTAAGCAGAGCTTGCAATTCTGTGGGGAGAGCTGAGCAGTTTTGTCATGCCAAAAACAGATGTTGTGGAAAAGATGATCCTGTAGGCATAAGGCAGGCTCCTAGAGAAGCTCATGTGCTGTAGGAAAGGACATGTGCTGAGCTGATATTAAGTACTCTTTCATCTGAAGGTAATAAAATTGAGTTCCTGTAAGGAGAAGGAAGTCCTGAAACTCTTTGGGGGAAAGGGGAGGCTAGTGTCCTGGGGTGAGTGTAGCTGTTAGTAAATATAAAACATTGGAGAGGTTCCTGCACTAGTCAATGGTTTGCAGCTCTGTGTCTTAAGGCAGGCTGCAGAGAGACTTATTCAGAGCTAAGCAGGTCAGCAAATGAGTCTGTCGGAAAGCAATGAGGTGTTAATGACTTACTTGCTATTAGCTAGCTATTTTTTCACTCTCATTTTACAGAGCAAATGAAGCCAGAGGTTAAGTCACTGGCTTGAGGTGACCCTGGCCCAGCAGTATAAGAGGTTTCTGGCTTTTGCCTTAGTTGCTAGACTGTGCTTCTGACTGGAGAGAGAGGCGGAGAGGACTAGGGAAAGCAGAAGGCGCTGGAGAAACTACAACTGGTGTGTTAATTCCAAAACAGAAAGAAGTGTGGTCTGCTGAAATGAATAAAACAGTGAAACAGATGGAAAGGGAATAAGAGGGAACTGGGAACCACTAAAAGAATGGCACCATCATTTTTATTTGTTTATGAGTTACATTATGAAGTGAATAAATAAAGGGAAAACACTAGATGGGCTGACTTGGAAGCATTTAGCATATTATCTTATGATATCTTTCTTAAGAAAGTTAATTTCAATTGGCTGAGCATAAGGTCTGGTATGCTGGAAACAAATCATAAGTAGAAGTAAGTGACTAATGGTAATTGCGGGAGGAGATGTCTTCATGAGATGCTAATGCAGCTTCAGAATAAGATCTTAACATGATGGTCTGGATGAGGGAGTGAAAATCATTTTGAGGAAATCATATTTTCTTTGGGGACAGAAAAAAAATTACCCTCAAAACAAAACAATTGAAACGTGGAGGGAAAAGTTAAAGAAAATATGGGTGGGATATATTAAAATAAGATTCACCTTAGAAAAATGCAAGATAACAGGTCTGAGGAAAAAAACTTGGAGATGTAGCATTTCATGGGAAGAAGAAACTTGGAAATGAGAGTCCGAAGGGGAGAGAAGAAACACAATGTATTTTAAAACTTGTGGAGTTTGGGGTTCTGTAAGAGGGATCAGATCAGGCTGAAAAGTTATGTCTGGCTATAAAGACCAAATACAAATTCCACTGGACTTGGATGCATTGAATACAGACACCTCCCTAGTCCTTTATCTAACACCTATTTTAGAGCAGTTCTGTAGGGGTGGCTTTTTAAACAGGCTGTGATCTTCACTGTGGGCAACAATAAATTATCCTTAAAATCATATGTCAAGAACTGAAGTGGCAACAATGCTTTCTCTCAGAGGAAGACCAGTGGTGACTCAGGTATGTTGCCTTTGTTCTTCTCTCAATCAAGTAGCCTGGAATAATCTCCCAAAGGAAAGCAGGAAACCTAATTGCTTGCTATTTTTGAGCTGAGCTGATCAAAGTCATGACCTGTGTAAGGTCTTACTCCACAGAAGCCAAAGCTGATGGGAGGAGGAGGAAAAAAAAAAGTTACCTAGCTGGTCATGGTCAGCTGTATCTCCAATAATCTTTAATCCTTCAAAGGAAGGATGCTTTTTAAATCAAACTTCAGTTCTCCTCTATCAGGAAGAAATACATGTAATTGTGTCTCCTGATCCTCACTTTTTCCCTGTCCTCTTCAGGTTTCCCCTATGCCCTTCAGTAGTGACTTCTGGCCTTTTCTCCTAGCCTCCCTTCAGCACCTTATAAATCTTGGAGCATTTCTGACTGCTCAGGCCATAGCTGAGCAGCTGGTACTTACCCAGCAGAACCAGCGAGTCTGGGTTGACCCTGTACTCCGTCTGGTAGGACAGGCTGCCAGAGCGGTTGAAGCTGGTGGAGAGCTCTTGGTGGAGCACTGTGTTTACCCTCTCAGCAGTCACCTCCTTCTGCTGACTCTCAGGGATTTGGAGGGCAAACCAGAAGAAGAAGGTCAGAGCCCCCTCCCTAACAGAGAAATGGCATGTTAAATATCCTCTCTCTTCCTCTCCAGAATCACTGGAGAGACAAACTCCAGAGATTAACACCGCACTGTTTTTCCACAAATCAGACATATCTGTGTGGGCTTTCCATTTCACTGCTGTGACCCAGAGGAACCACTCTGAGTGGGGCAGGAGAGCTGCTATGTCCATGGTGATAGTTAATGCTCAGTCCTTTGGGGGAGGAAGCCATTTTATGCCATCTGGCTTTAGTGATGACCATACGTGGTCAAATTAATGTGATAATTAATCAAGACTGGTCTATTGAGTAATCTCATTTCGGGTAGAAATGACCTTTGGTTACTACTGACCAGGGGTTGAAAAAAACCACTCAAGACTTCATTGTCTCACCTCCCAGTGGCAACAAGTGGATGATTTATGACTCAGTACCTTACCACAGGCCATTAGTGCTGGGCAGGCTCAAGCTGGAAGAGGCTGTGACTGGGAAAGCTCTGTTCAACCAGCTGGCAGGGAAAATTGTCTGGGGGAGGGGGAAGAGGTGCTGAAACAAACCTTTGTTCAGTAAAAGGCTAGAGAAAGAATTGCAAGTGAAACTTTTCCTTCCCCAGTTGAAAAAGGAGTTGCCTCAAAATTGGAATTTTCTTTAGCTGAAGGACAAATTGAGGGGTGTAGTTTTCCATGGAAAAAAAATCAGAAGCAAATGTGTACGTCAGTTCGGAAGTTATTCCTGCTTTCTTGATCTACTGTGATGACCTGCCAAGCTGTAGTCCCACATCTGTCCCATTCCACTATTACCCTATTCCCACGTGGACTATGCTTCTTGGCTGGAATACCTTTTCCATGGTGCATTCTGGCCTCTCCCTTCTGGTGCCTAGAATCAGGCCATAAAATGACTTTCTTGAATTAGAGAAATTAATTTCCAGCTGCTTAGTTTCTACTGAGAAAGCGAAGCCCTGATTTTTTTTCAGTTCTTTCCAGTCAATTTTTTTTCTCTCTTGAACTTTTGCCTCTCTGAAAAATTTCTCAGTTTTGGCTTTTCATCGTGACCTTGGATGAAGACGAACATCAAAATATCCCCAGCTCTGTCATGCTGGAACCATTCTGGATCTGGACTGCCCAGCCTAGCCTAGAGCTCACAATGGGGACCGCAGCAGTTTATCATGGCCGGCTTTCAGTGGAACCAGAATAAAAGTGACTGGAAACTTTCACACACGAACAAGCAAAAATGCTCTGGGTGCTACTCACCCAAAGGCATACACTGTGCTCGAGTTGTAATATCGACCCAGCTCTGTGGCACGAATCAGTTCCTTCAGCTGCAACGAGAATGTCATCTGATAACTACAGCACAATGTTATAGTGGAAAAAGGACCTATGGCCACCCCTGTATTGCATCCCTCTTCCTGTACAGACCCACCAAGTCTGTCACTTGGATGGGGGTACCTGACCTCTTTCTCTTTCTACTCATTGAACTGCCTCAGGGCCAGCTCTGGTCATGAAATTGCCCTTACCATCTCCTGGAGCTTAGCTGACTCCAACCAGAAGGCTCTGGACTCCACCTGCCCAAGGTCTGGGGAGTATTGGCGATTGAGGACCTGGAGGCTGCCAGAGTAAAACTGCAGAACGGCCGGTTCCAGGTGCCATGGTCTGTAGTCTGCCAAGAGAAGATGCTACTGGATTACCTTGCTGATATGTAGGACAGAGGGGTTTACCCCTATGTATGAGTCTGTAAAGATCACCCAGAGTCACTAATGCGCTTTAGGCTGGGCATTGCCTTGACTACACCCCACCCACCTCCTGTGTGGGGACAAAACATGTTGAATTTTTACCTAGGAAATACCAGGTTGCTGCAGCAGCTCCAGCCAGCAAAAGAAAGGCTATCCCGAGGGGCGCATAGCGGAGGCAGTCACGTGGGTTAGTCTCCGATTCGTCCTTTGAGAAGGAGCTGGCATCTTCCTCCTGTTCCTCGGCCTCCATCAGGGGCATCTAGTGACACAGCACACCATGGTCAGGCTGGGTTTTCTGTATCCCTTTACATCTGTCTCTGGAGGTGCTCTGCCATCTCTGTGCTCCTCTCCCAAGATCTATAGCCCGAAGAGATCTGTGTGCTAAGCATCAAAGACTTTGCTCACTGCAAATGTGAGTAAAACTCCTAATTCAGTGGGAGACAGACTTCCAGGACACTGCCCTGTCTACGCCTCCTGGGTAATCCCTCAATTTTCAAAGGCATTTCCTGGGTTTTGCTTCTGCCAAAACTACAAATGAGTACAATAATGAATTTCTCCAGAGACAAAAGTGGTGTCCTCCTAGGCTGGGAACGGTTTTAAAACTGGTATTTTATTGACCTAGAAATCAATGCAAAAGAAAATCCGTGACCTCAAATGCACACAGAAGTTGCACGCAACAGCCCAACCTGGGAACCTGAAATTGCAATTTGCCTGCTGTGCCATTTTGCTCTCGGTCCCTAAAAGTAAGCAAACCTTGCCATTCCAACCAGACCATGTGTCCCAGGGCTAAGCCCATACTGACTCACTAGCTGAGCTAGTGAGGAGAGAGCACCTGAACAATGTTCAGCCCTCCACCACCCTCTGCTTGTGCCAGGGGACACCTTCTGGCTTCCGTTGCCCCTCGTCTGCCCCAGGCTGCTTCTTTTGCTTCGTCCTGACCAGCGCCTCCTCTGTCAGCCCCAGGCTCTGAGGGTAAGAAATGCCATTGCCCAAGAGAGCCACGATAATCTTGGTTCTCTATCTCACCCGCCTTCCTTCTCCTTTCCTCTGCTATCACCCAGTGCACAGCTGCCCCCAAAGGCTTTCTGTGTTTCTATGGCTGGAGAGGAAAGGGATGTGAAGGCATCTGTGTGGGAGGGCACAGAGGTCTTGGGGAATGCCTGTGCCATGTCTACGTGTCTGTGAGTCACCTTCGCGCCCAGTGGTGAGTGTGACTGTGCGGGCATGAATGCACAGGAGGGACTTGTTGCCGATGTGGGAAGAGCTGGTTGGCCTCGCACCCATTTTGGCCCACGTGGGTACCCTGGAGCATTCACGCAATAGGGGTGAGTAGTCTTCTCAGTCTCCTTGCTTTCCCCCAGTTACTGAGCCCTGAGGCCTCCAGGCTACTTTGCAACACAGAAACATGCTCGCAGGAACATAAGCACCAGGTAACTCACTCTGAAACGTTAAACCCAGCTTGGTGAACATCAGCACTCGGACAATCAGCCACACATCTGCTTGCTGTAATGCACCCTCCCAGAGAGGCACATGGTACAAACAGGTGCAGCACAAACTGCCTTCCTTTGCTTCTCATGGGCCAGCTTTCTGTGCAACCCCTGGGGAGGATCTCCTCCCCAATGAACCACGTTGGGTGGTCCAGGAGAGCAAGGGCACTTCTCTGTTATCACAGCATCCCTTCAGAAACAGCAGGCACAAGCAAAGAACCGCAGACGGAGTGGTAGGGGGAGGAGGGCAGGAAGCAGCAGTAGAAGAGCCTCTTTGTTAGAAGATTTGATGGCAGGCACCGGGGTTTCCCCCAGAGCTGCAGACCTACCTTTGAAACCTGCTGCTGCCTGTGAGGCCTGGCCCACACCCCCTAGGCAAGCCAGCTCACACATGCACGGAGGAGGGGAGAGAGGAGGACATCTATTTACCCAAGCTCAAGGTCTCCTCAGCGATCAATAACCTGATGCCATGTCCCTTCAGCTCGGCCTTTGTCCTGCACCGTCCTGCCGCAATGGGTCAGCACACCCCGTGCAATGGCTTTTTTCTTTTCTGAAATGGAGGTTTCGGAGGCTTGCAGGGGGAGAAGATCCACAGTGGGAGCCTGGGAAAAGACAGGGCAGGAACACCTCCAGCTGTGCAGAGAACAACACAGGAGGCTGGTGCAGATAGCTTACGTTGTCCTCCTCGAGGGACAAGAAGTTGCTGAGCAACTGATGTATTTCTTAGCTACCCTCCTTGGTCCCATTGGAGGGAGAGGCAAAACGCAGGGCGTGTGCTCCCCAGCACAGAGATGGAGCAGACACTGGCTGGCAGGTGTAGATCGCTTGAAGGAGGGGAGATGGCAGTAGACAGCGGGTCCGGTTACCACAGTGGTCATGCAGATGAAAGCAAAGCACAACGTCTCTCAGTCCCCACCCGCAAGACTCCCTCTGGTCTTCTTGTGCTTCTTGCTGCCCAGTCTCCTGACGCTGGGCTCCCTGCACTCCGTTGCACCACAACTCACTCCTCACTGCAGCATCCGCTTTTCTTCTAGCCCCAGGTCCTCCTCACCTACCTTTCCTGCACCACCTTCTGCTTACAGCCCCGCAGCTCTGTACGTGCCTCTTTGTTTTTCACAAAAAGCAACCACGCTCCAGCTAGAGCAGAGTAAATAGAGTTATTCTTTCAATAAAGGGCGGGGCATGGGGACATGGACGACTCTTGACCGGGGGCTGAGCTCCAGCCAGTGGCATTGACCTGGGACTGAGCTCATTTGGGCCAGTGCTCATTTGGGCTCATTTTTGCAGCTGGGCAGGGATAGCTGTTTTCAGCTCTGCCGCTGATTCATGTTTAGTCTGGGACTGCATGAAGACCAAAAGCCATTGCTGTAGTTGCCTCGTGGTGGATTCTAGTAGATAAACATTATATGTGGATGAAAAGCTGCAGTGTTTGACTGGGAATGTGTCAGTGTGGTTATCCCAACTAACTCATTGCTGTACATATGGGAAACTGAGGCATGCAATGACAACAAGAAATGCCTTCAGAACTGCTTGAGAGATTGAGGAGACCAGATTTCATTTTTAAAAGTTACTTTCAGTCAAAATTTCCCCAGATAACTGGGGTATAGCTGCATCTTTAGACATACATGTATACGCATATGGCTTTCCCAAGCTTACGCTATGAGGCCTTGCCACAATGGGTCAGAACGCAGCTGAGGGTATTTCCCCATGCTGGAGACCTTACTTTTTGTATCCATCTTTCCTGGAAAGAAGCATCCTCCTTCTCTGGTGTTTTCAGCAGAACAAAAAATATACCATCTCAATCTGATCTATCTAAGCAAGCATACCACATCTATCACCACAGGCTTTTGAATCAACCAAGGACCCAAAACCTTGATCAGATTTGACTTCAGAGGAATGCCTTTGCTGCAAGTACCCTTTACTTTCCACTTCTCCACAGTAAAAAAAAAGGAAGGGATGTGGGAGGAGGCTGACAGTGGTATTGCCTATTTACAAACAAGGTATCTTGGAAAGAGGGAGATCAGAGATGTGACAGCTATCTTTGCTGTCTCTGGGTTTAAGACAAAAAGAGGACTCGTGTCTGTGGTTGTTAGCACAATATTTTCCACACAGTGCTAGCGTTCAGCTTTGGTTTGCCTCTAGTACTGATGGACAACGTTGCAGCATCTTTCCGTGGTTTTGTGAACCACACACTATGCGTTCACATCAGCTTGCAAGGGGACTGCTCCTCATGTGACATTTCCAAAGAGGTCTTGAGGACCCAGCGGAGAAAGGGCCCCGCATCACTGAAGGTGTTATGCCTTTGGTATTCACAACCTGGGTTACTCACATAGGAGACCACATGATCTTGTCTTCCTGGAAGAAAAGTCCTGTTATCACCAGATCTGATGTTGAGCACTTCCTGCCGCAGTGTGTCACACATTCACACCCAGCGGGGCTGTAAATGCAGCGCTAACAGATTGCCAGCTCGAAAGCTGTCAGCATTTTCACATGGGGGGGGGGGGGGGGGGGCGCGAACATGTCACACAG